ACTTGTGTCCGGTTTACAAATGCGGCCAACTGGTTACAAGATTTGAATGCACTACCACAAATACAAGAGATTGAATTAAGTTATTGTGACTTAGGGACCTTTCCACGTTCGCTGTCTCATGCCAACTTCACATCTCTCACCACTTTTGATTTAGGAGGCAATGATATAAACTCCACCATACCAGATTGGGTGTTCAATATTACTAGCCTCGAGTTCCTTTATCTTGGTGGGAATCACCTATATGGGTTCTTTCCTGATTCTGTTACGAGGTTAACATCTCTCAAGGCACTCGACTTGTCTTGGAGTGTGTTCCAAGATGGCTTCATGCGATTAGCTCCTATATCCAACCTCTGCAAGCTCCAAATTCTCAATCTACGCTATGTGCCTATTAACGATGTGCTTGCCAATTTAAAAATGGTTTTCTCTGGATGTCTTAGGAATAGCATGGAGGAATTGTACCTCGGAGGCACCCAACTGAGTGGTTTCTTTCCGGATTGGCTAGGGAACATCAAGAAACTTAAATCTCTTGATCTTTCTTTCAACTCCCTCTGTGGATCAGTGCCTGCATCTATCGGGAATCTATCATTGCTGCAACATTTGTATTTAGAATCCAATGAGTTGAAGGGGACAATTTCGAAAGGAATCGGACAACTGAAGAGCCTTGTTGATTTGGATCTCTCCAATAACTCGTTGAGCTTATCGGAGGACGACCTGGCTAATCTATCGAGTTTGAAATATTTGGACATTAGGTATAACTTCATTGAATTGAATAAAAGCGATGATTGGATCCCTCCTTTTCAGCTTCAAAGTCTCTCCATGGATTTCTGTCAAATAGGGCCCACGCCCCAATTTCCAAAATGGCTCCGGACACAAACCATTCTTCGTCGACTACAATTGTCAAGTGCAGGTATCAAAGACATGTTTTTCGATAGGCTTCCTTCTAGTCTTGAGTCTTTGGATCTCTCCAATAATGAGATCACTTATGATGCACAACAATATTTTCCAAATCTAATTATTTTGGATCTCAGAAATAATTCTTTGTCTGGACATCTTCCTCCAAAAATATTAAACATGATGCCAAGACTCAAATATTTGTATCTCTCCAACAACAGGATTACTGGTGAGATGAGTTCTTTCTAGATATTTATTTCTCTCAAATAACTTCTTCTTAGGGCATTTTCATCCAAGAATCTCAAACACAATGCCAAACTTACTATTGTTTGATTTATCTATCGTTTCAAGCTCTTTATTTTTTCTTTTTGAAATACTCCAATTTTCAAAATGGCTCCAAACACAAATATCCCTTCATGTTTTATATTTTCACTTGCAGGAGTAAAAGACATGATTCTCGATGGGCATCCTTCTAGTCTTGAGCAATTGGATCTTTCTTATAACTCTCTCCATGAATCACAACTTGTATCTCTTGGAAACCTCTCTATGCTGCGATCTTTGGATTTACGATCCAACAATTTGAATGGGATGCTTCCGGAAGGCATCAAACGGTTGAAGGGCCTTACAGATTTGGATCTCTACAATAACTCATTGAGATTATCGGAGGACGACCTTGCTAATCTACCAAGTTTGAAATATTTGGTCATTTCATACAACTCTATATACTTGAACAAAAGCGATGATTGGATCCCTCCCTTTCAGCTTAACACCCTTTCGATGGGATTCTGCCAAATACTGCCCATGCCCCAATTTCCGAAATGGCTCCGAACACAAACCACTCTTAGTGGATTATTTTTATCAAATACAGGGATCAAAGAAACGATTCCCAACTGGCTTCCATCCGGTCTCCAATATTTGGATCTATCCGATAACAAGATTACTGGTGAGATACCACAATTCTTTCCGAAATTGAAATATTTATTTCTTTCGAATAACTCATTCTCGGGGAATCTTTCACCAAGAATCACAAATACCATGCCAAGCTTACAATGGTTTGATCTATCTACGAATAATATGAGTGGTGAGATTCCCTTTTCTTATTGTCAATTGAGGAATTTGGAAGGGCTTCAGCTTTCTGAGAATAATTTGTCAGGAGAGGTTCCTAATTGCTGGAAAGATTCCTCAAATTTACTTCTTTTAGACTTATCAAGCAACAAATTAGTAGGTGGAGTCCCTGAATCACTCTGTAATTTGCAAATGCTAGAGTCACTGCACTTGAGTTACAATAATTTATCCGGGCCGATTCCTCATTGTTTAAAGAGTTGCACAGAACTATCTACTCTCGACTTGGGCCACAACAACTTTATCGGGAACATACCAACTTGGATCGGAGAAAGCCTATTGTATCTGAAGACACTTAGCTTACGCTCGAATGCCTTCAACGGCAGTATTCCTCGATTATCTTCTCTACCATCTCTTCGTATCTTGGATCTCTCCAACAACAATCTTTCAGGAACGATACCACAGAGCTTTGGGGACTTCAGTGCATTAAAAAGCGCTCCTACGTATCAGTATTGTTACTTCAACAATTATACTCTCAGGGTGGAATATATGTGGCTCTTCATAAAAGGAAGTGAAATCAAGTATACCACCTCCAAACAACTTTCAATTGATACACTTATTGATCTCTCCAACAATTACTTATCTGGAAACATCCCTGAAGAATTGGGGAATTTGCATGGATTGCGAAGCTTAAATCTATCCGGAAATTACCTTATAGGTCAGATACCAAGAAGCATCGACGTAATGAAACAACTAGAAGTCCTCGATCTCTCAAGAAATAATCTCTCGGGTGCAATTCCGTCCGGTTTGGCGACCTTGAATTTCTTAGACCATTTGAATTTATCATATAACAATCTTTCAGGAAGCATTCCCACTGGCAACCAATTGCAAACTTTTACTGATCCATCTATCTACATTGGCAATCCATATCTTTGTGGCCCTCCTCTGCCCATAAATTGTACGGTGAATATAGCGAAGGCCATTGAAGAAGAGCAAAATGAAGATTCTTCTGAGAGCAAAATGGAAACACTTTGGTTATACACGAGCATCACGCTAGGATTTATTACTGGATTTTGGTTGATTTGTGGAAGTCTTTTGTTACGACGTACATGGAGGATCACATACTTTCGCGCCATTGATAACATGATTGACAAGCTATACGTGGTGATGGTAGTGACCGTAGCAAAATACAGAAGGAAGCTATGATGACTCATCCGACTTAAGCAATAGCAATGGTATTGGTATCGATCAGTATGTGATACGCTCATGGTTTGCATGTCTTTTCATAACACCGTCACATGATTTTAATTTTTCTCTTTTGTGCATACTATAATGACTCTGTTATATGATCTGTTGATGTTTGTCTACGTAGTTGTTTGTCAAAACTTTATGTCATCAAAATATGAGTCCTCTGCCTATGGTTTATGAGTTGTTATTTGTTTCATGCAGCAGTGGTTATGGTGTTAATATCTATGCTTGTAAGGTGATTCATAATCTAATTAACAAATTCTAACTCTTTTGTTAGAGGGGGTCGACATGACTCATCCAACTTAAGCAATAGCAATAGCATTAGTATCAATCAGTATGTAATACGCTGATGGCTTGCATGTCATCATGTCACAAATCATAAGAGTTTTAGCTTGACAACATCAAGGAAAACCATGTAAACCGTAGCATGGGTTTCATTGGACTTATTATTGACACTAACAAGAAGTAAATTACTTTATCATCACGGTAAATTATAAGGTGGATCATTGGAATAGACTCAGAGAAACAAGAAGCTCATCTCCACATGGAGACACCTCACAAATGTTTAATTAGAGCACCACTTTGTTCCCGCTACATTACATTAATTCTAGGGTGCTCATCATAATACATATACATATATATATATATATATATATATATATATATATATATATAT